CCCCGCCCACTCCAAGGACCAACCTGTTAGGTGAGTCCCTGCCCCGGGGAGGGGCGCCGGAGGCCTCCGCGGGACACAAGTTACGCGCACGCGCACAAGCCCCCAGATCCACTCCGGGACATCACCTCTCCGGACCGGGGGCGCCGACCCACGCCTCGCTTCACGAGCGGGAAAACGGAGGCCTCGAAGGAGGTCTTGCCCAAGGTCACACAGAGACGTGGGATGAGGAAGGGACTGGACGCCGGCCCAAGACTCCCAGTAGCAACTCTAAAGCACTCTGCGTGTCGCTGGCCGCCCGTTAGTTAGACCTAACGGGAGGCCCGCGCGTGGGGGAGTGTCGCCACGGTCTGCGCGTCGGGACTTGCAGTGCCCGTGCCGGTGTGTCTGTCTCTGCACACCGTGTCTGCGAGCGGCACGTGTGTCTTTGTAGCTGCGCGTGTGCCCGAAAGTGCGTGCACGCCGTGCGGCCCGAGAAGCAGGAGGAAGTGCGCGGCTGGCCCTGGGGGTGTGCACGGGACCTGTTGTCAGCAGGCTTGGCAGATGGGAACTCCGCTCCAGAATTAATTGCCTGTTTGTCTCCGGCTGGGAGGTCGTCCCCCTTCCCCAGCGACCAGTTGCTCCCGCCCCAGACCAGCCCAGTGTCGCAGCCAACCGCGGCCGCGGGCGTCCACAGGATCGGGCTCCGGGTGAGCTCGAAACCCCCAGCTCAGCTAGGCTGACGCCGCGACCCTGATCTTCGTGACTCAAGCGCCCCCTGCCGACCGGGCCAGGCATGCCGCGCGGCCGGGCGCCGGCACACGAGGTTCTGAGGTTCTGGAGAGAGCGGTAGCCGCGCGTCCGGGGCGCGGAGGCGCACCCCGGCGACCTCGGGGAGCCGAGTCGGAGTAGGTGCCCACTGGCGAGCCGGATCCAGGCGGACCTCCGCGCCGGCTCAGCGCATACAATGTGACTTTCGCAGACTGTCCAAGCCGTCAAAGCGGCCCTTCTTTTACGTTTTACCCCTTTTACCTGGACAGTCCTCCCAGTCCACGCAGGCAGTCGCCAGGAAAGTGGGGAGGACGGTCCCCTCTGGCTTCCCTGGTCGTTGTTGACCTGACTCGTACACGCGTGACGGAGGATGAGGAGTAAAAGGGCCAACTCCTTACTCTGCGCGCTCAGAGCCTCCTGCCCCTTTCCGCCCAGCCCTGGCAGGGGGCACCTTCCCCTCCTCTATCTCATCGCAGTCCCGAAGAGAAAACGGGCATCAGCGCACCTCGAGAACTGGGTACCCCCAGACGCCGCCCTCACCCACCACCAGCCCCTTCCCCCGCCCTGACCGCAAGCAGCGCCGCCTCCGCCCCTCGTCTCTCTGAGCACCCACCCCGGCTGGAGGCGCGCGGCCCTCACACCCTCGGTACACACGCAGGCACACACACTCCCCGCACGCACCCCAGGAGCACCGCCACTGGGGCCGGGGCCTGCCGCAGCCGCAACTTCAGTTCTGCGCACTGCTGCGGCGTTGGGGAGCACACCCTATCCCCGGGACTGGAGAAGGCCCAGACAGCCCCAGAACTTGGAGGTGCACGGAGTCGAAGTCACCTCAGGGGCTCAGGATGAGCAGGGGACCAGACCCTGCCTTGCAGGTTCTAGCGAGGCGCAAGGTGATACCCCGAGTCCCCGCGCGCGCTCTCCGCCCTAGCCGACTGCCTCGGGCGCGGTCCGGAGAGCAGAGGGAGACTAAGGCAGCCCGGAAGGCAGAAAGTGCGGCAGCCCGGTGCCCGCCCCGGGCTCGGGGCCCCGCGCGCCGGCCCGTCCCTCCCCTCCCGCGTTGCACTCTGAGCCGTGAGAACCGCGCCGCCAAGTCTCAGGACAGCGCCTCCGCCGCCAGCCCGGCCCCGCCAGCCCTCACCTTGCCTCGTCGCCGCAGGAGGTGGCTGGTGAAGCCCAGGATGATCTCCGAGTCCAGGCAGAGCGCCCCCATCTCCAGCAGGCTGGGAGTCTTGCGGGGCGCGCCGCGGGGCGGCTCGGGCGGCCCGGGCACCGCCATGGAGGAGCGGAGCGCGGGGAGCG